GGTGATCATTAAAACGTGCACAAACAACATGTTAAGATTACCAAAGCAAGCGAACCAGCCGCAGCGGCATAACAAAAACAAAAAGTAACGAGAAAATGACCGTGCAAACACTTTCAAACTTTGCAGGAAAGATGGAATCCCCTTCCCAGGCGAAAATAAAGAGAAATGGGGAAAAGCTAGCAAACAACGGCGAATAAAACAAAACGTTAGCAGACGATAGAAAGATACAAATCACCCAGCAAAGAAGCTTCTTCAACGACGACGATCATTGCGGCGCTTAGGGGAAAAAAAAGAAAAGAAAGCACCAGCAAAAAAAAAAAAAAGAGCTTAATTTTTTTTTTTTTTTTTTTAGTGGTTTGTTTTAGGTTAATTTTAATCTTGCAGCAACTTAATTACTCACGTTTGTTCGGTCTTCGGGAAGCGGGAGAAAGATTTTCTACCACATCACAAAAACTTACCTGCCATCTCCAAGTATGCGCTGGTGTTTGCCCAAAGGCGGCCGGTTGATCTATAAACGATGACCCACAGCAGACGTTCCGGCGTAGACAAAAAAAATTCCATTATGAATGTATAACGTCTTGCACTTTTTAATATATTTAATAAATACCAAAAAGGACGTATAAAGATTTCGGTTTCGAAACTCAATCGAAGGAGAAAATAGTAGGTTATCGCAGACGACAGTAGAAGAAAACATCAACAAACTTGCAGACGGCCCTCAAAATGTCCGGGCACAGCGTAGCAGACGGACTGGCGGTAGTAAGCGCAGAAGTAAAGCCACTGCAGCCAAAGTGAAGAAAAGAAAGCTAAAACTAGTCCAAACAAGCCAAAACAAAATACGCGATGGTCCGAACGGCAAGTAAACAAAACAAAAACAAAAAGCGTTAAAGCAGGAAGAAGAAAGAACCCGACGTCGTAGCTCCTCTTCAAAAATAAAAATAAAATACACTGAAAATGGAAAGAGTTGCTCACGGCGGTCCAAAGGGTGCCGCCTTTTATCGTAGAAGGCCACGAAGACGTTAGTTGTCCGGGCGCCAACAATTGCAATTTGTGTACCGCATATAACGTAACCAAAATCACTTCTTTTTTTTTTTTTTTTTTGGACGCGCAAAAAGTCTGCTTGTCTTGTAACTCCGCTTTTATTAATTTGAGTAATAGCGCTAGATTTGCATGTGCACCCCGAATTTGCAACCTGAAAGCTCTGACATCCTTCCCACGCGGAGAAAATGTCCTTCACTTATGAGGTGGCACTTTTTTTTAACATTCAAAACAGCGAATACCCGTGACCATGTTTTTTTTTTTTTTTCCATCGGTCACTTTGCACGGGAATAGGCAAAAGGAATGTGTTGCGGAGAATTCGTCTGCTCGCGGAGGCTCAGAGCTCGCCAGGGGAGCTGCGATCACTTTTCGCCCGCGCTCCGCGGGGCCCCTACTCTCGTCAAGCTTCGGGGTGTTTGCCGCTTGGCGCGGGTCGGGGATCTACTAAAGGCTCGGTTATAGACCATTCCATTTAGCGCTCCCTGGCCGGCACCATTTTGTTCGACAGCAGCGCCCTCTCCACACATCCGGGAAGTTCAGCGGGTTCGGCGGGGTAAACGAGAGAGAGGGCACGCGCCCGACTCCGCTAGCAGACGACAAACCGGGAGGTTGCCGTTCTCCACCTTTGGGGCTGTATCGGCGGGCGCTACCGAACATCCAACTCTCGCTCGTAGCTGCCGTTGCGAAGTGGTTCGCGTTCTTAGAATAGTTGTGGCTACTCCAAAATTATCCTATAGCTCTCTGTTGTTCTATTTTGCGAAATGATCAACTGGCATATATTTTTTCCGTTACTTAAATAGCAGTTGAGTCAGCCGGCAGTACTACCCTCAACTACTGCTTGTATTGCGGCAGGAGAGCACGTTTTATTTATTATTTCAGACTTCCACTCATGGTCGCTAAAGGCCCACACCAGTACAAACTTTGTATAGTAAAAAAGGTTCAGCAACCGGATTTTCTTTTCGCCAAAGAGACCGGCCAATCTGACACAGTTTTCCCTATTTTTGTTTTTTATTTGCACGCAGGTAACAGCGCAATTGGACCCTGTGGGTCTTTTTATCTAGCATAATATTACACGACAACTGGAATACCAAAATCTGCGCATCTGCTCTTGGAAGTTCCAAAATGACGCGATTTTAAACAGAGTTTGCACGCCAGCCGGACGCTAGCTACAGCCCACTCGGCGGAGCGGACGAGATGCGGGGTGGGAGGGCGAGTGCATTTTTTTTCTCTTTTACCCTCTCTGCTATGACCCTAATGGAACGGTCTATAGACCTTTTCCGCTTACTCTCGCCCCCGACCGCCAAGCAGGCAGATCCGGTATGGGCGACGAAAAAATATTAAAACGTTGCAACCTGCAAGTAGTAAAAAAATAGAGGGGAGAGAAAACGAGAATGGGTGACGGTTACGCTTTTCTCTTAAATGCATTCTATTGGCGTGGCGACGGCAAAACAATGTTTTCGCCCATACTGGAAGTGACGTCAATTCAAGATGGCGGCGCACTTGCAGAAAAGGTCTATACTCCAACTTAACGCGCGCGCAAGCGAACGATGGCCGAAGTCGGCTACGTCACGTCAGTCACGCCGCGTGCGTCAAAAATTCGCCCTCTTTATACTCCGGCGGCCCTGGCGGCTCCCGCGGCTCGCGTCGGTGGGCCGCCGGCGCGGCGCATGCGCAGAATCTGACTACGAGGGCACGTTCCTTGCGAGAGTGCGCCACTTCCGGTTCCTTTTCGTTTCGAACAGCAGACGAAAATTCTCGCGCTTCTTGAGCGCCAAGTTCGAGCGATGGCGTGGACGTACTTTCACGCCGGCACCTGACGTCGCGGCGTGAAAGTTCCGGGTTCAAATCGCGCTAAGCCGTCCTTTTTTTTTTTTTTTTGTATTTTGTGCGCGTCTCATTTTTTTACTGTGATCCTTTTTACGAATCATCCACTTGCACTACTTCGCCTTACACAGTTTTTAGTGTCAGTCGCTCCGGTTGAATCGAAACACCGGGAAGGAAAAAAAAAATCAAGGCAAGCTAACGCGCTAATACAATCGTTTCATAATGTTCATTAAAAGGAAACCAAGGTAACCGCATCGGTATGGCTTTCACACAAACGGAGCCGAAACAAGCATCCTTTCCCCAGCAACTATAAGTTTATGTGTTTTTAAATATACAACGCTCTTGCTACGACTCCTTTCAATAACAGGAGACGCCCATTTAGTACTACTAGAAACTGCAGTTGTGACAATTAAAAGAAAAAAACTTCCACAAAATAAGCAAAAAGTAATAAAGACTAGTAGCTGTGCATGCATCGATTGAGCGAAATCCTACATGCAAGGCAGCAAGTCAAACGTCTGAGAAAGTAGTAATAAAAGAAATCATACTTTTACTTGCATGGAATGTGATAAAAGGTATATTTTTTACTCTTTACATTTTGCTGTGGCAATCGCTTTGTAATATTAACACATTACTTGTTGAATTTTAGTTAGAATAGCAGACGATCACAACCGAATGTAAAAATGAATCGGGCGTCGACATCGCAAACCATACCTCTAACCCAAGAACCTAAAATGACTTTGGATCAACACATAGAATTAATTAGTGCAGTTGGAAAACGGAAACAAAAAATTCTAGAGAAATTCAGCAGCACAGTTACCTGGCGATCGAAAGACGGGCATGGGAAGATATTGTCAACTTTCCGCGTAGTGTACGTCAGATGCAGTAGGCGTGGGGGAAGTTGGTAAAGAAAGCCAGAGACATGTATGCGCTCTTCCGAGGTCATGAACAACGAACTGGTGAGTCAGAACTACCCGCCCAATGATTTTATAGAGCTCATAGGGCCTTGTCTACATTCTTAGTTGAAGTGCAGTCAAATACAAGAAAAAAAAAAGAGTTTCTGGCGCGACTTGAACCCGCGACTTCCACGCCGCGACGTCAAGTGCCGGCGCTCTAACCTCTCGGCCACAGGAGGAGGCGCGAGCCGCCATTGTTGGCGGAGGTATATAAATATACTGCCGCCGCTTTTATCTCGCGTGGTTTTTCTTTCTTTTGGATCATATTTACCCTTCCTGGCCGTAACTGTACCTGCCGCTCCTACAGTATACAAAGGGGCGGTCAATTGGACTCCAGGTAAAAGTTCCTGCATTCAGTTTCTGCGAGCGAAATTAGGTTTTTGTGCTTGAAGCGATACGGATTTCTCCGCCATTAGGCAGGGACGCTAGGTACTTCCATGTCCCCGTGGAGCTGGTCACGTGACAGAAAAATCCCTCTTGGCCGCAGCCGCGTCCGCGGCCGCAAGATGAGCAAGCCGGCCCAGGAGAGAGCGTTTCTCCCATAGGCTTGCGTGTATTGCCTGGTGTCAAGTAATGGTCGCCGGTGGTGCCACCGATGGGCTCGCGATCCGCGATCCAGCCTTCTACAATAAAAATCAGTGTTCCGGATAATGCCGCGCGTAGCGCCTGAAGTCCCTAGATAAGAGCTTCCTACAAGTAGCGACATTCTTTGAAACACCGACTGCGCGAAGGGGCAGGTTTTAGCAAGCAAATGGCAGCGCACAGCAGAGATTTGAACTGAACGCCACCATTTTGTCTTAGCGTAATGTGCTCTGTCAGCTGTATTCGTGGCCGTTACTTGTAAAGGAAGTATCAAGGGATTGAGTAGGGCCGAGCAAGCAGCACCCGGTCACGGTATTCTAGAAGATGCGCTTTAATTCCTCCTCGGGGCGTAACTTTCAACATTTGTCCCGAGTTTCTTGTTCTCAAAATTGCCTGTCCATTCTCACCCCGACCGCTCGATGCTCGGACCTTCCGAGCTGAATTTTCGCGATGCCAACGCACAGACACAGTAAATAAGGAGCTGCCCGCGACCTTGTCGAGTGAGTCCCGCCGCTTGCTGTTGAGTCGCTAAATTGCCGCACACGCTTCTGCTGTTTCATGAGTTATTTTGTCAGCTTTGTATGGATAGTTTGATGAGTTATTTTGTCAGCTTGGTATGATCCAATACACGAAACATTTGACAACTTTACCGGAAACGTTTCCAGCTTCTTCTAGAACGAAAAGAGAATTGGAGAATTCAGGTCAAGGACGTGTGCACTTTTCTGTCTATACGACGGCGCTCTTCTGTGTTGCGATATACCACTCCGTCAATGAACCAAGACGTTCTCACCAACCAATCATCGACGGAACGATGGTTTGATGTCTGTACTTCAGCAGAAATACTTTGCATCCCCAAAGTCAGAGCTATCCTTCTGCAGCGTTGTGTAATCTATTTTTTCAGTTAACTAAAAGAGAACATAAATAAATCATGAACAGTTTTATTGCATGCACTCGTAAGCATTGAAAACTCTTTAAACCTAAAAGACACAGACATGAATATTCACTTTCGATATAAAAAATTACAAGAATATACTTTCACAATGACACTTTCGCGTGGGGCAACATTTTCAAGAGAGATGAAAAGTTAAAAATATAAACTTATCAACATACACCTTCACCATAATACAAATACAGTGTCTCAATTACATTTTCATCGTGTACATAGGTTTACGGGAGGGGGTGATATTTCCAAGCTTTGAAACATATATATACACACTCCAAAAATAAATACGCTGCCCCAATGACACTTTTACCGAACACATCCGGTTGTCCCGGAGGACGATATTTCCCCGAGTCTGAGTTGTTCGTAAGGAAGCGTTCAAAGTCCGTTGTCTTCGACTTGTTGTCGAAGGTGTTCAATATCGATTTTCTAAAACAACGCTTTTGTTTTTGCTTTTGAAACTTTGATATCCGGCCGTCTGGGAAACGAAACGCTAAACTGCCACACTACATTGTTGAATGGCGACGATATAGAACCCCAACCCACCTTTCTGATACTGCTCTAGGCAGGCGTTTATCTCCACCCAGGCAAACTGCAGGGCACTGGCAATGTTCCCCTGAGCCCTGATCGTTTGAAGGAAACAGTGAAAGTAATGCACGCTAAAGTCAACTTCGCCTTCGGAGTCGAGTCGTGTCAGATCTGTTATTAATGCGATAAAAAACGCAGGGATATTCCGTAATGTCTAAACATGTTGGGCATTGCATATCGGTGATGACGGAACAGGGTAAAGACGTCGTAAGCCTCGTTGATGCGCTCGTGCAAATGCCTACCATAGCACACCGTAAAGTTTCCGAAAAAAGCAGAGTCCCTCACAGAATGGATTGTAATCTCGATAGGGAAGATTATTTATTTATTTATTTATTTATTTAGTTATTCATTTTTTTATTTATTTATTCATTTATTTACTTATTTCTTCATTTTTGTTTATTAATTTCTTCATTTATTTCTTCATTTACTTATTTACTTTACTTTACTTACTTTACTTACTTTACTTACTTTCTTTACTTACTTGCTTTACTTACGTCCTTACTTAATTACTTACTTGCCTACCGACCTACCTACCTACCTACTTACCTACCTACCTACCTACCCGCCTACCCGCCTGCCCGCCTGCCCTCCTCCCTTCCTCCCTCCCTCACTCCCTCACTCACTCACTCCACTCCACTCCACTCCACTCCACTCCACTCCACTCACTCACTCACTCACTCACTTACTCACTCACTCACTCACTCATTTATTTGTTTATTTATTTATAACCTCCATATGCCCCAAATAACGGGTCTTAGATGAGGATAGACGAAACATAAAAAAATTTGTTCGATGAATGCCTTGGTATGGGCGAGGTTGGAGCGGAGCACGGAGTCGGTGGGCAGATCGTTCCAATCCTTTGCTGTCTGCCAAAAAAAAAATGAAAAAAAGATGCGCAGTACAGCGGGCATTGGGGGGATGGACAGCTTCCTGGTGACTGATGCGGCATGAAACGCGGTGAGCTGATGCGATAACAGAGCTGCCAAGTGATGAGTGATAAAACTTGCGAAAAAGGCAGAGCTGGAAATTTTGCGCCGTGATTCGAGGTTAAGAAGGTTAGCATGAGATTTAAGTGCTGTGACACTGCTATGATAAGAGTAGTCTGACTAGATGAATCATGCTGCGCGATTTTGCACGGTTTCGAGCGTTTTAGTAAGATTAGATTGATGTGGATCTCAAACAGCAGATGCATATTCTAGTTTGGGTCGGGCTAGTGAGAGGAAAGATAGTAGCTGTACCGATGGAGGGGCTAAGCACAGGTTGCGACATAGAAAGCCAAGGACGCGATTCGCGTCATTAGCTATGTTCGTTATGTGAGATGACCAAGTTAAATCGTTTGAAAAGCTAATGCATAGGTATTTACCATATGATGGTACAGGAGATATGAGTGAACCACAAATGACGTAGTTAGGAGATGGGTAAAATTGCCCACGATGAAAAGAAACGAGGGATGTTTTTTTAGCATTCAAAGACATAAGCCATCTAGCACACCAGGCCTCGATATGGTGAAGATCAGACTGCAGGACGTGAACGTCAGTGCTGTTATTTATAGGACGATAAACAGCGCAGTCGTCTGCGAATAAACGTATGTTAGACGAGATATGAGCAGGTAGGTCATTTATGTAAATTAAGAAAAGTAGGGGACCGAGAACAGTGCCCTGGGGCACTCCAAAAGCAACCGGGGATCGGGGCGAAGAGAGGTTATTAGCATGAACTAATTGTTGTCGGTTTGACAAAGAGTTACGAATCCAGTTACAAGCTTGAGAGTCGAGGTTTAAACGCGAAAGTTTTAATAAGAGGCGTTGGTGTGGACCTTCATCGAAAGCTTTTTCGAAATCTAGAAAGAGGGCATCCACAGGTATGTTATGATCAGCACTTGAACTTAGATCGTTAGTAAAAAGAGAAAGCTGGGTTTCACAACAAAGGTTTCTTTCACAAGAACATGGTTTCCTTTTAGGAAACCATGTTCGCTCGAAAGAAAAAAATTAACAGATACTAAAAAATTTATAACACGCGAGTAAATGATATGCTCCATTAATTTTGATGAAGCACTGGTGATAAAAATGGGACGATAACTGCTGCTTGAGGTTGGCGGACCTTTTTTTGGTATGGGAACGATCTTGGCCCACCTTCCAGTCCAGTAGTACCACTCCAGATGAGAGAAATTGCTGAAAAATCTGTGACAAAATGACGCTTGTGGCACTTTTTGTGCTTTTGAGTATCTCTGAATTGATGCCGTCAACACCTGCGGATGATGTTTGTTTCAAATGTTCGATTGCTTTTAGGACTCCATTAGAATTAAAGACTATGTTGGGCATAACCGGGTGATCAGAATAAGGATATTCAGGGAGATCAGCGGCTGGTTCTTGCGTAAAAACAGAACAGAAGGAGGAGTTCAACGTTTTGGGAATGTCATTTTTGGGAATGGCGAGTTCTTCTGATCACATAATGGTATGGGCTTTGATTGACCGAGTTGATCATTTTCCAAAATTGCTTGGGATTGCTATGCAACATTGCAGGCAAAGTAGAAAAAAAAACGTGCGTTTGGCTTGAGCCAACAAGAGAGCCAAACATTTTTTTTTAATAGCATTGCATTGATCCCATGCCCGCGTGCTGTTCGACAGTTAAGCTGATCTAAACTCTCTTTTTTTTCTTTTTTTTTTTTTTTTTTGCTGATACGTTTCAGCACGTTTTTAAACCTCGGAGTTGATGTTTGTTCAATAACAGTGATAGTGGGAATAAACGTTGTGATTAGATGTTCCATTTTGTTTTTTAATAACCAGTTGTTTTTTTCAACAGAGCGTTTTGCAGTCAGTGAGAAACCAGCTGCAGAAAGTGTCTAGTTCTTCGTTCATGCTTTTTTAGTCACCTTTATCATACAGTGTTAAAGTTTTCTTCACTTTTTTGAGGTTCGGAAGTTGACACTGAAATGTGGCGTGTATTGTTACGTGATCACTAAAACCGGGTAAATATGTAATTGACGACATATTTTCTGGGTGCGAAGCAAGCACAAGGTCAAGGATGTTAGAAGACTGATCAGTTTGCCTGTTTGGGAAAGAAACAAGTTGCAATAAACCAAATATGAGGCACGTGTTAACGAAGTCGCTTTCTGTGTTGTGTTTGGATGTAGTAAGTACCAGGTCGGCCCAGGTTTTCGCCGGAAAGTTAAAGTCACCGAGCAGAAGATTGAGAGCGTGCTGATATTACGTAGTCATGCATCGAAGGGCTTTGTGAAATTCAGCAATAAAAAAAGAATCGGCATCTTGTGGGCGGTAAGAAGCACCAATAATAATGGGTGGGTAGGAAGCATTACAGGATATAAACAAGATTTCTAAAGGGGTGGGGGTGCTGATAGCAACGGCATTGCAGGTTGCGATGAGCAGCCAACAAAACGCCTCCGCCGTGTTTGTTCGCACGATCGCGACGAAAGATATCAAAGTTAGAAAAAGAAGATAACAATTTTGTATCACAAATAGATAAATTTAACCACGTTTCGGTGAGGACGACAATATTACATTCAGTGGTATCAATGAGACTGCGAAGTGATCCTCGTTTGGGCAGAATACTTCTGATGTTTGTATAATTGAGAGATAAGCATGCAGCTGTTGTTTGAACTCGCTGAACATTTTGACGATAGCTATGAGGGACGTGGAATAACCTTTTGTGTAGCGTGATCGAATACTTAAGTCCGTGTTAATTATAAGTTTATCATGACGGAGCTTGAAAAGACTTCGTTGGTTTTTACCAAATTCAAGCAAATGCTTTCGAGCAGTGCGCGTATTTGACGAGTAGTCTTCGGAGATACTGTAGCTGGTACCCTTAAGCTTCTTAGTAAATAAAAGAACTTGCGCTCTGATTTTGAAATGTGCAAATTTTATAATAATAGGCCTACTTTTGTTAGGCTGGAAAGTTCCAATCCTGTGGGCTCGCTCGATATCTGTTGGTTGGAGGGGCACGTTGAGCACCGCGCTGCAATGCTCAATTATTAGGATTTCTGATTGGTCCCATGTTTCGCGTTGATTATCTGTGTGTCCGAAAAAAATAAGATTTGTGCGACGAGCCCTGTCTTCAGAGTCGTCGAATCTGGCTGTCAAGTGAGCGATTTGTGTAGCGCTGTCCTTGGCGAGCGTCTGAACGCTTTCGACCTGTGACTTGATTGTAACTATAGACGAGCAGTCCACTTCTATATTCGTAAGCCTTTTTTTAATGTCGTTAAACGTTCTATCATGTTCTGACAGCTGTGAACGGATCGATTTCATTTCCTCTAAGAGTGACATTTGCCCAGACTTGATGTCCTTTAGGGCCGACATTATGTCACTAAAGTTTTCAGTGGTATTCATATCTGCAGAGCGAGTGTGGGGCCCAGGGTTCACTTCAACATCCCCAGATAAAAGCAGTAGTTTCAGTATCACGCATGCACAGTCATGAACAATAATAATACAAAAGCCTAAGCAGGCAGTGTACTTGAGCCAAATGAACTTGTAATGCCTTTGCGTTGAAATATTGTTGCCTCTAGCGTTCGTTACATTCCAGATAAAAACACCTAAATATCCGACTTCGAGAAGACAAAGACGGGTGACTGCCCGTCTCCCTTGCTTTTCTGCAGAACTACCGTAGAATACCGAGCATCCACCCATTTCACATTAAGCGCCCATTCGCAAATTCGTAAGATCTGAGAAATATGCACAGTACATTGATATGTAAAATTGATGACATGCCAAGCGCCCATCCCCCATTCTTTCGCGATTATCTCTAAATTTTGAGAGGGCGCTTGCCCGGTATTTTACGGTAATCCCGTCCCGTGACGCATACTTTCAAGCTCTTCGTCCCTGAGCTCTGAAAGCGTTTAGATGAAAACACCTTCACGATGTCGTCTGCCAAATGGAGGAATACGAAGAAGGACGGCCCGTAACGCGTATCTAAATGTCGAATGTCTAGCACCGGCAGCTCCTCATCAAACCGAATGAAATCCATCATCACAAAGTTTCACGAAGAATCGAAAAGATATCAGCAGGTCTAGGAGGTTTTCCATTATTAGGTAAGCAATGCCAGTGGGCTACCGTAATTCTAACGTATGTTAAAAATTAAAAAAAACGCGTTTTAAATGTTTTTCTTTTACCTCCCGTGTATGGCACGTTCTGAAGAGACGGTGGACGTGCAGTGCTCCCCAAACTCAACGCCGCCACTGGGTTCCCCAACATTGATCTCGTGTCGGCTACTTACTGTTAAATTTGTCACCAAAACGTTCAAATTTCTCACCAAAACGTTCTCAAGCTGGGATAGAAATCGGAAAACCATACATTCTTCAGATAGTTCATTCGGCCGCAACAGGGACTGTCAAAGACGGCAAATGCTGCGGCGGCGTTACGTTTGAGGCGCACTGTACGTCCGTTTTATAGCAACCTTTGACGAGCCGATGACAGCGAGATATGTCTAGACAGGACAGCCTTCACAATCGAACATTCGACACCATAATTCATATCAGGGTTTTGTCGCTGCCGCTCTTTGCTTTAAAGCAATATGTTTACGAACGGCTGCATGTTAGGCGGGAACTCGACAGCAGTGGAGCCGTTCCTTGCGAGTTTTTTTAATATACATTGTACCGAAGCGCAGACAATTTTGCTTTCTACATTTGAGTACTAGTTTTTTTTAGCCCACTAAAATATAGGCGATTAGTGAAATCCCGATCCATAATATTTATCTCATCCCAAAAGTCATTTGTTGGCCTCTTTAAAATACATGTACAAGATGTGCGCTAACAGAGAACAGTGTTCCTTGAGGCGCCCACTAAGATATACGTCGCCACACCTGTCCGCGTATATAGCATGTTATCATCAAAGCGCAAAACGTATCAACAATTTCGAAGGTATGTGGTCTAGAGTAATCAATCAAGTAAATTATACCATTTTCTGTCCGAAATAAAAATATGTTCATAACAATTACTAGTTGGCGGAACCTATGAGAGATGGTGTCAGGGAACTTTACGTAACCTTTGTTCACGTTACCATAACTGTGCACTGGAGGCTCTGGAAATTAAAGTCAAGGCTTTGTGTTATATGATGTTTTTGTGTTTCTTGATGCCCCATACATGCTATGCAGCAGTCAATCATCGCTTGTTTCACCTCTGCCAATAGGTATAAAGCAAGAAATAGGCGTACAATCTGGTCTATAGTGATGCATCGTTAGTGCGTTGAGGTTTCCGCTTTCAGAAAGTTAAGATAAAACAAGATACAATTGTTAAACCGGAACTTGCGCAGCGATCGTTAGCCGAACCAATTTGTTTGCATCAACACCACACGTCGCTCAAGCACGCATATCGGTGAAACGTCATTTTTTCTGATAATATCATATCAATTGTAACGGAGACAGCATTGTTACCTTTTGCTTCCTTCTGATATTGATCAGTGTAACATCTATTACCCCTTCTAAAGCCCGCTGCAGCAGCTTGTTACGGTTTGTATTACTATCTCTCTGGAACGCTGCGCGACATGGATCTGCGTGACTCTTTTATCAAATCTTGGAGGCAACAAGGAAGCTCTTAGTGTATCTGCTAAATGAAATCCTCCCACGTCGGTCAGTGGGTTCACGTTAAATATAATCATTAATGCATTTGAACCACAGAAACATTCGTTTTTTTCAAAATCTCAACGAAACGTATGGCCAGAGTGATGAGACCTATCTGTTCAACTTTTAGATTATTCACCTTCTTCAACTGCGGCATCGGGGAATTGACATAGCGCTTCTGTAACTTTGGACGGTATCTAGTAAATATTTCGCATATAGCTTGATGAAGACGATACATTACGGGACATCAAGTGCACCCAAGAAAAGTTCAGCGCTCACGTACCTGGCGGTTGTACACGAATAGCACGTGTTCCCCAGATTTCTGGTGGGGCATATTGAACTCCAAAAGATCGCAGCCTATGGAAGGCGTGCGGTAAACACTGAAGAGACACTGGTATTGCGCCATGTCCAAGGCAGTTGTTCCACGGATATCAAGGTGGAGAGGTTGTCTATTTGGAAAGATAGAAAATTGTGAAGAATGAGGTATCGCACAAATAGAACCTTTTCAAAATCCCGTCAAGCGACATTGGTAATACATGCTTTCTCCTAGTCGAGAAGTGTGAGATTAGAGCCCCATCCCTCGCCGAACGCAGACGCGGTCACTGCGTCCAATATCTGCCCAGAGTACGTAGCGAAACAATGGCTGACTGGGTGAAGTGGTGCATCAGCTGCTTCATGCCGCGGCGTTTGATAAAGGGTCTATTCCATTACGCTGAATTTGCGTATATAATGTTTCGCAATAATAGCCTAACTCACCTTTCATTTAAATGCTTAAAATCCAGTGCTCCGCTGTAAGTGCGGCTGCCTGTCTGCAAATATATCCCCAAAAATATCAGTTCCAAAGTTAAACTTGCCGTAGAGCCCTGCACGTATTATAAAAGGTGAAACATACCTAAGTTGATCCCTATTCTTTGCAAATGTGTGTCTTGGAAAACATATCGCCACTGATGAGCTTAATATGGGAAGCGTAGACTGCAGCAATTTTTGAAAATACTTTTCTGAAAACGTTCAAGTGATCTGGTTAGTCAATTATAAACGTGCTCAGATTTTTATATGAAAAATTTATACTAATAAAAAAACAAAACGCTGAGGAAAGCGGCAGCACTAACCGGGTTATGAGAAGCTCGCTCTGCATGTAACTTGTACAGAATTTCTCTGTCGCCACCAGGCTTTCCAAAATCATGAACAACCTTGCTAACAGCGTAAAAAGTTTAGATTGCGTACTCTAGAATATTGACTTGTTTCACAATAACAGGCAGGGGGACAGACTCATTGCTTTCAGGGGTTCTCCGTTGGTGGAAGTCACGGCATACACTAAGCCTCGTCCCCAAATCAGTTGCCCTACCCATTACTACTGGATTGACTGGGCTGCTCGGCCGAAAACGCTAAGACTGGTGTTTGCCTTTCCAGACATCTGGCGCGTCTAGTTTCGTGCCTGACATCGCCTGCTGGTTGTGCGAGCAGACGCACGGCAGTCTCCGGCATAGTTTGCTATTTCACCACCGTCTATCGTCGTCTGCCATGCCCGAAGGACGCGGACATGAACGCTGCCTGTCGGCGTCCGTACCCGCCTTCGTCCGTCTGCTATTTCGCCCCCCGTCTAGAACCTTTTACAACGCTCGCAAGGCTCGACCAGTAAAGCGGTGTTCCAGCGTTCCATCATGCGCTAGTGACTGTCCAGTACAAGCGACTGTCGGCGTCTGTCGATGTGCGGTAAAAAGTGAACGAGAGAACTAAAAAAGCAAAAAAAAATAAAAATGCAGTCCTTTTAGCTTTTATATTCTTGATAATATTTTTGCATGGCATCCGCAAGCAAGGTGAGAGAGTGTCATGAAGCACAATTAATACGTGACCTTAAATTATTTGTTTTGGCAGGCCAGTTGCATTGCTAACCTGATAGCTACTGTCCTTTCGAAGCGAAATGACGGGAACATACCTCGACTAACTTGATACGAGCCGAACGCCCTATCGTCTCCAGCCAAATGGCTCGCAGATTTTTACCTGCGTGGGCCCCTTCTCAGTATTGAAACCATGGTCGCAATCACGACGGTTAAAGAATTCATGGAGCGGTGGCCCCGGTTTTACGGGAACCCACATATTTATTCAGCATCAACACGCCCCAAAAAAAATCAAGCCAGGTCGTTTACAATAGTGAATAGGGGACGTAAGGCTTAGGCCCGTCCCGCTACAAAGAGCAGCATCCGCAGAGCGCTTCCGAAGGCGGCGTGTACTCGCGATGGTTGTTCGCTGCCAACCATGTCGGTTGATGGGATCTTCCTCTAAACAGCTCCGTAAACTCAAAACAACTCGCACTCATGAAAACTGACGAGCTCAACGAGCGGAGCTGGTTCGGCGCTCGGCAGATGCCGGCAGCAATGCTTGTCAAGCGGCGGTTCGACGACACTGTGCCCGCGAGTGTGAGCAGGGCGTGCGGGGCCCACGATCAAATCGTGGCACCCATCGTTTTAGATTGTGCGGGTCTCAAGCCTGCTCGGCGACAAGACAACAGATCACATCCTTGGACCCCCTGACGCTCGGTGAGGCGTTGGGCTTCCTTATACCAACAAGGAAAGCGCAGCAACCCGACGCAACAAGGCGGGGAGAACATGTAGACAGGCCTGTTACAAAGGCGAACGTGATCTCCAGCATTCTGAGGTCACGTGGCATTACTTTTTCAGCTAAATCTAGTGCAGAAACTGAATTTATTCGTGGATTACGTGACCAAAGTCATTTGGCGGTATTTTCCACGCTGAATTCAGCGCGAAAATCTACGTCACGAGACCTCAGCGCCAATTCATTTTTCCCCAAAGTTTAGCGGGGCGGTTACGCCAACGCCGACGGCGATGCCGACGCCGCGAAACACGGATACGGGCGCCTAAGAGCTGCGCTCTAAAAGGTGTACATCAGGGGCCATTAAAGAGACCATGAAACAATTTTGGAATCAAATTTCATCCACCACACGTCGTTAAAGGTGTGAAAAGAAAAACAAGACACAAAAATTGAGAACCAAAAAAAAATGTTTCGCAATAAAACTTTTAAAGGAAAAGCGGACTCTTTTATACCCTGTTTCCTTCGAAAGCTCTCTGCCTTTTCACTGCGATGCATCCGCGGTGGCAATTCACGTCGGCCAAATCCACGTCGCCTACTCGATAAGAGCCTACCTCACCAGCACTGCAATCATAGACAATAAATAGCCGGCAAATGTTGCTTATTTTTTTTTTTTTTTAAGATTCTGATCTACATTTTCAGCATAATTAGCGATGTGACGGAATTTGCCGAATTTTATCATGCTGGGAGCCATGCGCCATCTATCGTGCGGTAAACGATGCAAGAGAAAGATCAGACCGCACAGCAGCAACTGGTCGCGGTTGCTACTGTGCTGAAAAACATGGCGTCGGTGGTGATCGTCCACGTGGTAGGCGTCGTGGAAGCTTATGGATCTGCGTAGAGCGCACTCGTGGACTGAATTCTCGTCGTGTGCCGCGATGACGACCCAGCACGTCCTAGAAGGAAGAACCGTGTACTCGTGGGGCGATTTTGTGTCGGCACCCTCAAGACAGCAGAGACGGTCGTGCCGTCGTGTTTGTTTACTTCGACTACAGTTCTCAGCATTTGTGTCCTTAAACATCAGCCGGGTTTATCTTTGCGCGTTCCATGCGTGTGCTCAAGTTCAAGGTATTACTGATGCGTACTTTTTTCAAAAGCGCACATGAAGGATGCGAATTTTCGCGCGTTTTCATTGCCCGAGAAAAGAGAACAGTGTTAGCTGTCCTGAACTCTCGCAACGTCTATGTGATTACGAAATCAATTTCTACATTGCTCTATCGGTGTGCAGATTACATCACTTTCTGCAATCGTAGAAGGGACGTGTGGCGATATTTGTACTATAAGTAAAGTCGTGTGCTAAAGCCGTGATTGCCAAGACGGCGTACTGGATCTTTCTCTTTTCTTTCTTCGTCCACTGTGCCCAGCGAGCCTATCCCGACAAAATAAAAGTTAATGAAGCTTGAGCCGCTATTAAACTCTGCGAATGTTCTGCTACGCCAGTGAGTGACAGCACGTTCCCTTTTTTCAGCGATACCGCGGAACAGGCTGACATCGGCGGAGAAGCGGCGGTCGTCCTGGCGACCTGCTGCCCTTCATGCAGCGGTTGCAGGAGTGTCTACGCGCGGCGCAGGGCGGTTGCTCTGGACGCTCCGGTCACAACGGACGAAGTCGTAGGCTCGTAGCTAACACGCTTGTTGCAAGAGCCTAATTTACAGTTTGTGCAGTCCGGAGCTTAAAAACAAAACGGCTGCAGTTTCACCGTTTGCCACTCGAGGAACCACGTCGAAGCACTTGGTGCAGGCTCATCGGTTTCAGGGACCCCAGGTCTAAGGTCATCTGTGTATGCTTAGAACATTCCGTACATTGGAGTCGCCACTTTTGTCGTCTGATTCTGACGAGGAACTGCAGTCTTCGCCGGAAGAGTCGCCGTACTTTCCAACGGGCGTACAGGCGTATCGGACCGGTCCCATGCTGTCGCTGCAGCGTAACATATCTAATGGAATTTTGGTCAGCTGCGATGTGTCCATAGCTATCGCGGTGATGAAAGGCGCCGATTCAGAAAATATATCGGTGGCATCGGCGCCATGAGCGCAGTAAAACCCTGTGGTAAAACTACCGGCACACCGCCAGCTCGCCTCTAACACTCTCATTCTCCTACTGTGGAGAGAACTGCCGGTTTCGGTGACAGAGTACGTCTCGATCGTCAAAATTACGCCGCGGTTTGTTTTGCGGTGAGTTGGAGGGAAAGAAAAACGTAATATTTCGATAATTGTTCATGTATAAGTTAATAAACCAAAACAAAAACGGACGCCTGTTCGGCGTTCGGTGAACATTAAAGGTTTAATGTAAAAGTTATGTGGCAAAAGTATAAAGGTCATTTTATGGTCCTTTTAATACCCACAGGGTCCCAGGCTCTGACACAAACTCAGTTCGAGCCCTCGCGTTCAAAAGAAAATAAGTCGCAACATCATCATCATCATGATTAGATGCCTATTGCAGATGCCTTGCCGGAAAAGGCTCGTTCGATTCGCTTGAAGTACTCGTTTGTGGTGTTTTCCGGGAAAGATAGCTCCCTGCATCCAGACTACCGTGATGGCCAAACGGCAAGCACTGCTTTGCTCCCGGATGCACCACGAAATATATTTTAGCGAAAACAAAAAGAGAAGCAAGCCTCCTTCTTTGCCGTTCCCAACAACGACGACCACGACAAAAGCATCCGCAGGTTTATTCCTGTGGTGCGTAAGCCACATGTCCAAAATCCAATATAGTTCACCTTTTAACAGAACTTTAAAGGGCTCATATTGGACGAGATATTTACCCGCGGAGCAAGAAAACACCCGAATTGCAGTGGACGCAAGC